ACAGTTTGTTTCCAGCCGAAAATGTCCAGTGCACTCAAATGCTTGCCACATTTAGCTGAGCCTGCTAATAAATCTCAGTTGATTTTGGGTAGGTGGAAGTCCCAACATATGATCTTATGCTTGTATGGAACAGTGGATACTTTCTCTGGTGCATTAATGAGTTCCCTATTTTCTAGCTGTGTCATTAAGTGTGTCCAGGAAGCACATTAGGCAGCCTCCTCCCTTACCACTGTTCCTGTCACATCGAAAGTGTGTGTGCCCATCGATGGTTATCTCTTCGTTTGGCATATTGGAGCAACATCAAGGTTCAGTAATAGTTATTATTGAGGGTTTGTATGCCAGTGTGTGTGCCGTGAGTATCGGTAGTTTGTTTAGGACGGATCTAGCATTAATGAGGATTAGGTAAAGTTGAGAGTTGAATCAGTGTTTGAACTATTTAAGCCAGTCAATAAGGCTCAAATGTGGTTCAGCATCCACTGGTTTCGCATGGCGTGACAACTCTGTGTTACAGTTAGTGTGAGTAGCATGTTTACCTATGTCCATCGAGTTACTATCTATTTCTTTTGGTGAATAATGAGTTTTATTATCGGATTCACCATATGATGAGGTAGTTCAAGGCTTGGGTAGGTTGGAGACTTAGGAGTTCTGATTTGGCCTATGTTTGTTGAAGCACTGGATGTAAATAATAATTGCATGTGCACAAGGCTGTATCTGTTTCCTTCTCGTTAAGGAGCCAACATTAGTGGTACGGTTTCAGAAGAGTTAACATCCTGACCAGTTGTTTGGTCAGCGCTGACAAGGATGCGGCGGAACAAAATGTCATTGGTACCTTGTGATGTCTATTACTTATTAATATGTCCAGTGTTTGGAGGCATTCTGTTTGTGCTTATATGTCTTCCATTCTGTAGAAGTTTGTCTTTGCCACACCTCGAGGACCCAGAGTGGTTGGTAGCTGAGCTCTGAGTATTGTCCTCTGTAACATTTAAAGTGATGATGTTACTGCGCCAGTAATTAGGACTGGTCTTAGTGCTGCTTGACATATTACTCTAGTATGTGCCTACATTACTGTCTGTGGAGAGTGTGGTCTGATTTCTGCCATAAGTGTGGTTGTCAGCATAATTCCATGTCGTATTTACCTTCCAGTGCGGATTTTTCTCAGAATTTGTTTGTTATGAGTGGCCTACATTGACGAGTTTTGTTAGCAAATTCCTCTCTTTCTTTCGTCTTATGGCCATGACAAGATGATGTAGACCTCCCAGGGGCACTAGTTTCTATCATAGGGTTATCCAGAGAGATATCTAGATCCACGGTTGACGCTGGGGGTCTAATTTAGGAGCAAGATTATAATTCACTAGCCTTTTGGCTGGTGTCGTGTTCTGTGGAGCTGTTTTTGTGAGATGAGAGAGGGGAGACTATGAGTTCTACCTGGTTGTCCGTGGTTGATCTATTTCGGTGACCTTCGGTATGAGGCATGGCCAATGAAGGTGGAAAGTACAAAACGAATACAAGTGTCTATGCTGTATCCCCTGTGTTAAGCGGGATGACATGGTGAGTAATTTTCAGGTCAGGTACCAGATATTAGGTAAGGAGTGTAGGCCATTTAAAATAGATAGTGAAATCAAATTGACTGAGGTGGCTGCTGCACGTGCTGAGCATACCATTTGGTGTCAGGAGTTGTATGGTCAGTTTGAAGGGGAAGTAGGGCTGGTTTAACCAAAAACTGGCCTTAGTTCATGAAATCACTGACAAATAGCTATAACAACTACTAAATGTGTCACTGGAAATCGTTGTCAATTGCACAGATGCATTTAGTTTTTCCCCCATATTTTTCAACCCTCTCGTTTATTTCAGTTACTACTCTTCTCACACTTCTGCTTACTATAGCCCCACTTATTATATCTCTCACTTTCCTTTCTTTAAATTTGTGTTCTACATGGAATGTGGTAGATTGAAATGCTGCGTTTCTGTGCTAATTTCCGCGCTGAAGTTCAGTCACTCAGCATCTGTTGTTGCAACGGCACGATGTCACGCCAAACTGCAGTTTTAAAAGAAAACATGAACCAGGAGTCTGTAAAATGAAGATAAGAAACAGTGGAAGTCGAAGTGAATGAGGTGAGTGACTTTTCTTGGATTGTAACGTAATGTGTCCTGTAGCTGCAAACCACATGCACTTCATTTTCAGTTACATGTGTGTTATACTGTTAATCATGACTTAATAATAAATACAAAATCATTGACTCTGGAAATAACTTGATTCAGCAACGAATTCCGTGAGGTCTCCGTGATTAGCGAGTAGCTAAAATATGAAGACAAGAGATCACGAGGTCTATACACATGTAGTACCATTATTATGATAATTATTGAGTTAACGCGGGAAGAAGAACTAGAATTTTAAATGTATTACAAAAGTTTGCGTTGTCAAAAGGCGGAGATCATTTGATACACCGGTATTAAGTTAGGATATAAAGGATGTGGAATTGACTATCATTATCAGTTTGTGAGTTTAAAAGTGTTTGAAAATTCATAGAACTTCAAGGTCACCGTAAGTACGGAATTACTGAAATGTCAGCAGTTTCGTGAGACCAAATTTGAAGTGATCAACAATCTTCGTTAGATTTGCTAAGAATATTCTGAACATCCGCAAAGTTTAGTCTGAAGTGATTAACGCAGTCTATTCGAGTAATAATAACGTGAAAGACAGCATGACTGTATCAGTGCTGTGGTCCAAGACAGTGCCGTTAAAAAGAGAAGAAGACGAAAGAAATTACAATGCAAATCTTCAATTATGAGGCTACTTGGTGTCCAAAATCAAAGTATATGATTGCTGAATGAATTGGATCACTGTTTAAGAAAAGCTTTCATTCAAACAAAATATATAGCACAGTTCGAAATGAACCGTAAAATCGTCTAACTAACGTGAAATTGAAAATGGTGTATGAAGCCCAACTTCAGTGTTCGACAGTAATCAAGAAAGTAATACATACTATCCATTAAAAATGCACTACCATCACGCTTAGTGATTTTTTTGATGTGAGACCCAGAATAACAAACAACTCCAAAGATGTGGTAGACTTTCGAGCATTATCTATTCAACTTCTCAGGTATCCGGAATTAGTTTAATTTTTAGCGGAATATCATTTTACGAAAGGCGTACTGCACTCTGTTGACAAACACTGAGACTATGAAAAGAGTCTTCTCAGTGGAGCATAAGACCCCGAAAATTGTTTGAAAAAAAGGTGGATGTGTAGGTACGTGTGTGTGAATAATACCAAAGGTGTTTTTAATCCACTTAATAGGCACTGCGATGATAGATGGCACTGCAATAAGTGCCAAAATGCCGCCGGATAAAAGTCACCAAATGTTTATAAAGAATCTTCTAATATCATGGGCCAACGACGACAGCACTCAGATCCGTGAGTGCGCTTGTGAAATTCATGGAAGCCTAGAGGATCAAAGAAATCCATCAATTTAATTGGAGCTTGACTATTTCACCTTCAGCGATCAGTTTGTTTATCAGTACTGATTTGGTCAAATTGCAAACAATTGAGTTTTCAGGGGGCATGAGTTCGTTTGCTGAGCTGCAATGTGATTGTGTGTCCCATATTCTCTTCGTACGGTGTTAATAAATGCATCCGGGAACAACCGTGCTACATTCATCCTTCACTAACTGGAGCGGTATTGACAACACTATGGCCGCCATGTTAGATGAAACGGGCCAGAGAGTCAACCAGTTGTGTGAACAAAGCGTGGGTCTGGAAAGATGGATGACCACACAACGATCATGAGAGCCATTTATAGTTGAAACCATTAGGAAATTGAGGTTGAATTCGTCCATTACTGGATTCCTACAGCCATTCACTAATCTTGAATGTTATTTTTAACTTGGATCAACAATATAATCAGTTCATGAACTTCTAAGCGATGTAGTCAACATGCGTTTTCAGAGCCTCACAAGTGTCGGACATTTGTGGGCGATGGGGAAGCTTCAGTCGGACTATTGGCAGATCTTAAAACTCTTAAAGCCTAAGTGGGAATAATCAAAATGTCCGCCAGATCCAGAATTATTCGGCCACGCAAAGCAGTGCTCCAATGAACAACATTTTGCAACCATGACCATCACATAAAACCCTGACCCAAGTTTTGTCGCAACTAACAAGCCGGTTGAAAGGGTGATCTCTATATGGGAAAGCCAGAGACATGATTGGCTTAACACATGATGAGTCTTAAATCTGGAGGCACTCCCACTATACCTCTTAATGCTTTACGAAATGTCCTTACGACCACGCCTATAGACTCACCACCCTACTTTCTTGTTACGGACACAAAGCCCTTGGCTGTGGTACACAGATAAGTAACACAAGAGGCTTACAGGCCTATGTAATGAAAAGTTCACAAGGGACTTAAATGACTTAGGTTAGGTTGACTTGAGCACCAGTTATGAGAGTATCGTTATAGAGTCACCATCACCCAAAATCTTCTAACGGCTTTGGGATAACTATTCAGCAACGCATGTTGTGTGTCCAACCTACTTTCAACTGAACCAAAGTAAGCTGAAAAGCTCACGTAGTACGATGTTAATACTGTTCTTTACCTTAAAATTTAGAAAAAAAACACAAAGAACTCAATTTAGTTACCAAATATAAGATTTTTAGTACTATCACTAACTAATACTTTTCCACCACACCGAAAAGAGTCAGCGAAAGGAATAATTTTTGTCGCTGCATAGCTACAGTGGTGAAACAGACTTCAAACCAATTTTATCTGTCAACCAGTCTGCAACTACTCTGACAAACTATATCAATTGACTAGCTTGACTGACTAGGCGAAAAATACGAGAGGTCAGAAACTTTTTCCGCATCATCGAGAGTCTGTTGCAGCAGAGTCAGTTTCGTTTACACTGACTTGTGGAAGGAATTAATGCTTGGTCACTGCTTTTGTTTGTTTGCATAAAAAGACCCAATTCAGACCTGTTGTGGCCTTGGCCATCATTTGAAGGGTGAATGTTTTTTCAGTAATTAGACTTTAATAACTGGAACAGCTTCTGTGTTTCGTCTTCATCGCTTGAATAGTACAGTTGTTTGTTTACTTTTCAATGTAGCTTGAATTGGAGCTTATAGTAAAATAAATTCTCGTTAGTGATTAAATTGCTGCGTATAACACTATATGCAGTGTTATATATAGCTACTAATAATAGTGTAAACGTAGTTAACTTGTCAAAAATGTTAGAATTTTTCGTTAGATATTTCATATTAATAGCAGCAAATCAGTCCATATTCGAATTTCACACGTTCACGTCATTTCGAAAATAATCTACTCTTACTTTTTGAATGGAATGTTACAGACCATTTCATTACCTTACGCACGTTTACGAAAATTCTTCCGCTGGATGCTTACATACTAAGCTGAAACCTGGAAATGAAACTACAATGAAATAAAATGTAATTCTGTCCGTCAATCAATAGTTGCTTTATATTTCTTAGATCATTGAATCCCAGTTTAATTTCACCTTTTTTGAACTGATGCATATACTCTTTATTTTGATCTTACTTATCTTTTTGGTTCACTTTACTTGCAGATAAACGCCACCAATGGATAGATATGATTCAGTGGAATCACCAACTGGGAGTACAAAAACATTCATCGTTCTTGTCATCTTATCCCAGGTATGCCATCAATGAAACAATTTAAAGCTAAATGTAATTTTATTCAGGTTTTCGGATTATTAGCGATTATTTTAACTGCCGTTTGGTTAGGAAAATATTGGGGTGGATTCAGTTGGACTAATGCCAGCACAGTCTTCAATTACCATCCTCTTTTTATGGTTTTGGGTCTGGTATTTCTGTATGGGGATTGTAAGTTTGATATTAAATTGAATCTAAAAATTCAAATAAGACTGTTTTGTTGCTGTAATATTAGTATAAAGTTGTTCTCCAAAAATGTATCCGGTAATGAACATCTTAAAACCATTATTGTCTAGTAAATACACTCGATGTAATCTTTCGTCTATCCCCACAGTGGAAATACATGTGTGCCCAAACTAACGCATGTCAGTAATCTGACTATTTGTTCTAAGAGGAAGATTCCGTATTGTTTCTTCTCAATGACAAGTAATAGTTATATAATCTGTGTTTTGTCAGATGGAAAGTGGAAAAGACACAGGTTGTAAAAAGGAAGAAAAACGTTGATAGTATTTAAAAAGTCTATTAACAATGCTAGAGGTATTTGGACCTATGCCTTTCAGTTGTTCACTTGGTGGAAAGTTAATTCCTGAGAAGCTTGCAAATGTATTTCGATTGTCCTTATATAATTGGTTGTTTAGCTGTAGACGAAAATCGTTAAGTTGTTTTGCAAATAAGTAGTTCTAGTTTGCACAAGTAGTTACAGTGCTTTGCAAACGTTGCTTCTCAAAACTGTTTCTAAGGCGATAAGGACATGTCATTTTTACAGCCGACCTTTGTCATCTTCCTCCGTTATTGAAATTAGTGGATACTCTAACTTTCCTTGGTTATTACCTATTGTGGACGACAACACGAATTTTCACGACTCCTCTACCAACATTTCTTTGATAGTAAATTAAATGTCACCGTCAGTTTAGTTCTTTTAAGACAGGATATTAGGTTTTAGGTGGAGTTGATCATCAGAAATCCCCGACTTTTAGTTATTTACCTTTCGGTACTTATAAGCATATCTTTTTTCATATTTGGGCTACTGACGTTTGTAATTCAAAAGTGCCTCATAGACTACCGTGGACCATGGGAAAGATGGTTCATACTTGCGAATCGGTTTCTGACTGACTGGTTTCAACATAGAACTCTGCACCGATGTGCAGCAGTTTGAGTCGCCGCACTCTGTATAGCACACAAAGCAAGGAAAGAGAGTAAAAAGAAATGCAAAATAGAGACAGCAAACAGATATATAAGGCAAAAAGAATAGTAATATCAAAGAAGAATATAATTTTTTGGGTATTATAAGTCACAAGGAGTGGATGCATCTGCACCAGCCATTTAGAACGATTTTGAGCCATAGCACCAATTTTCTCCAACCATAGGTGTTTACCGTCCCGAGGACCCCAACCAGGAAGTCTACACATTCCTACGTGGCTTAAACTAACTGTTGTGGATCTCATTGAATGATGAAGCCATGTTTTGGTTTGACCACCAGTAGCTCTTTTCTAACCCTCTGAATGCAAATAGTGCAGCTACCAAGTTGTAAATGTATTGATGAGAATTTTCAACCGGGTGTGCAATGTAATCAAATAAGCTAAGTAACGCGATGTTGAGGCGCTGCAGTCAGATGAAGTCAGTCACCTGTAAGTTGCGGATATTCAAAACCACCTACCACAAGAAGGAAGCAACCGTAATCGTGTAGTAGTTATGGAACGTACAACTAGTCTTTTTATTGCGTGAATCACTACAGTCTGTTGATCAAACAGAATTCGGACTAAAACCAGACACGTGTTTTAGAAATTAGATCTATTGATAGTGTACAAGAACTCTTATCATCAATCACAACTTGCACATTTCGAGATGAAAGGCGGCTACGGTTTTCTTTGTAAGTCCAAAGTGTTTAAATTATAATATGTGGTCTTTCTGGGACTATAGGTGGCATCGGAAAGTAAGCAACGTTGTAAGATGGTATATGTTTGAGAACTAATTTTTTGCAGGCGGTGACAGGATCGAAGCGTCGTGAGAATGCTTCATTGCTTTAGGCATAGTGAGTCTTAAATGAGCGAAGTAGTTGTTCAGTATCTACTTTTATAAGTCTAGGCATATGTCTGTCAGTTTCAATAGTCGGGATATATTCGTGCTTGCTAGTGATACGTTTATTTGGTGTTTGATGTGGATTGTCTCACGGAAACTCTGTTACCCTCTTGGGTATGTGTTAATTAGTTACTCCTAACCGTTAAAGTGTGATTACGTGTCGTGCGGTTGGTGAATACCAACAACTATAATGTTTTTAAACCATTAGTGCATAATTATTTTTCATTCTGTGATTGTTTTCTTGTTTGTTTTTCTTATTGCCAGCAATTTTAGTCTATCGTGTTTTTCGAGCATATCGTAAAATGCCAATCAAGATCCTGCATGCTATCTTACACATGCTTGCATTTCTTTTCGGTGTTTTGGGTATTAAGGCCGTATTTGATTTTCATAATGCTTTAACTATACCGAATATGTACAGTCTTCATAGTTGGTTAGGGATAACAGCGATTGTGGTGTTTGGATTACAGGTAGGCTGAGACAGAAATTTACGTGTTATGTTAATTACTTATGATGAATTAGTATTATTATTATTATTTTTATTATCACCTGTATATTTTAATAAATAGGATATGTAACACCGTTTAAAATCATTTGAAGTCTATGTAGTACAGTGAAGTTAAACAAAAAAAGTGTCACAGAGCATTTCATGGTTTCGTCACTAATGGTGATAAGTTTCTAGTAACAGGTTCAATCCGGTTAGCTTTGTGACTTATGTGCATCAAGTTTGATCATGAAGTAAGTTCAGCTAGGCAAATCATTGAAAACTAGGGAGTACTACGAAGCTATTTCGTTCTAGCTTGTCACTCTTCAACAGAATGCACGCTCAACCCCACCAGAGATCGAACTCGGGACCTCCGAGTAACAAGGCGGGTCCGTTAACCATTCGGCCACTGAGGCACAGTCTAATGACCCATGAATTCTAACTCTTACCGATTTGCAATATATGGCGTAACTGAAATGATCAAATGACAAACGACTCGATTTTACATCAGTTCAAGTACGGTTCAATTCGTTTAGTATTTTCACTCTTCATTAACATATTTCATAATTTTAATATTTTGCGATACCCTTCTGTCTTCCAGTTGGTGACTACAGCAACTATTTTTTTTTCTTTACGAATTGTACACTTAATTTGAAGTTCACTTCACTTGCTTTTTTTGACGAATAATTCTTACGTATGTACCTAATATATTTTTTTCTCAAAATTTTCCTTAGTGGGTTGGTGGCTTAGTAGGTTTTTTGGTACCTCAAACACCTCAAAGTGCTCGTAGTAAACTTTTACCTATCCATGTGACAATTGGTAGCTTCTTATATCTACTAGTGATTGCTGTATGCATATCTGGGATTACAGAGAAAAATTTCTTCTCGAAAGCGTAAGTTGTTTTGCTCTTTGTCTATTATTTGCTTACTTTTGGAATTGTTTAGTCTTTCTAGTATTATGAAATATTCATCCCGTTGAGATGAACTTATCCACTAATGCAATTATTAATATTGATCGCAAACTAGTGAGTCAGGTATTTGCTATCCGTGGTGCACAATTGATCATTGTGAGTAATTTCCAATATACAAATTGTTAATTGAATTTAAGGCATTATCACTTCGCTCAGGTAGCTAGTTGGGGATTGGGTGATTTGAACTGATTCCACTGTCTATGCTGCCTCAGGTCTGGCACATTGCTGATGAGCTTGGCCCCCAAACTAGCGAAATGACTGTCCGGTATTCAGATCAATTCAATCCAGCTAGCGAGCACCACTGGTTAATGAGAGTGGTGTGCAACGACTCATCTCAATCGATCAGTAGTGTTTAGCGTCATGCATTTAGTTCCCAACTTCTTTTGTGATCCATTACTGTATTAGCTTACAACATTCACCCCCATGATTTTGAATTGAACAAATCATGTACTACGATACAACGAAAAATACAATGAAATTCATTCTAAGACTGTATACACTATGAATAGTCAACTTTAATAAAAATCATCATCATCATAAAAGCGTACGTTGCTGGCCTAGTCATTTATAGTCAGACAGAAAAGGACTATGTGGAACACTTAGAAACTATCTTGAACCTCATTGAAGAATTCAGAGTGCACAGATAGCTAAAATGAATGTTACTTTATTAGAATACAAAGTGGGAAACGGTGAGATAAAATCTTTGTTTAGGAAAACTTCGATGATAAAGACCATTGGAGCCCCCCAATTTGAATACGAAACTGCTATATTTCTTGAGGAGAGCAGTGTTTTACAGTAGATCTGTACAGAACTTCAGTAAGATACTAGCTCCATTGTAAAGACTACTATGTGATTCAAAATTTGTTTTGGACAGAAGAGTGTCGGAAGATACACAACCGCATTAAACTATCAGCAAATGAAGTTGGAATTACATGTACCTGGAAACAAGTTCGCAAATATAACCCAACCAGATGTCGTGTTGCATATCGTTACACTTCACTGAACATTTTTTGTTATGAATATAGCGTTATTTACTTGGTTCCGCTACCTTGTCCTGACTAAGCCTTCAATATCATTGATGAAATTCTAGAGGTTAACTATCCCCTTTTTGTCTTATGAGCTGTGTTTCCACTACTTACTGATTATTTAAAAATAATCTTTTTCATTTATGATTCAGGTATTCCTCACTTAGACCTGCTGAGGTAGTTGGTAATATACTTGGTGTCACATTGGTGATATTCGGTGGTCTTGTCTTCTATTTAGTTCAACATCCAAACTATCGTCGTATAGAAACAATATCACCGGAACATCGTGCTCTCCATGAGTAAATAATAACTTGTCAAGTACATATATATTATTATTAACAAGAGAGAGAGTAATACTTATTGTTGCGTAACTCTTTATATGATATTCCACTCAAATTGGTCAGTTAATATTCCATAAATGTATTTCTATTTTGTATGGAAGGGAAAAGCAATTTAATAATTTCTTACGATTTGACATACTTCATACTACATTGTCATCTCTTTTCTTCCTAAGTACTCTAACCTCATCGATATCACATCGCATCATTTCGATTCTGTTGTCGTGATGATAACATTGTGATTGTTTTGCAGTAATACATATATATATATATATCCGCTTGTTGTCCGCTTACCGTCATTTGTGATGTATTTTCAAAGATGCCCTGATTTACATATGCTTATCGATAATTTGTCTATTTATTTATTACTTCTTCAATGTTTTATTATTGTTATTATTTTTGTTGTATTTTTGATTTTTTTCATCATGGATCTGAGTTATTTTGTGTATTTGTGCTTGTGTGTGTGTGTGTGTGTTTGTCTGAGTTTTACATCACTTGTAATTCTTTCCTATTCACTTTTATTCTTTCTATTTACACCTGTTACTTTTCATTTGAGAAGTTCTAATTTCTGTGGGGTATAATTTCCAGTTGTCAGTTGCTGTTTTTGTTGTTGTAATCATGGATGATAAATTATTTGTTTGAATATCTTTTGAATGCGTAATACACATGGGAATATTCAAAAGTTTAATTGTTTGGCTTGTGGTTCGTCCCTGTCAAATGTAAGATGATGCTGTGGGGTTGATCTGCACTGACTAAGAGTTTAAGGATTGAGAGCGAAGTGGTGGAGTTGTATTATGATTGATTGATGATGAAATCTCAGTACCAAAGACCCGTGTAGTATTTACCAGCTTACATCATCTCTGGTCTGGAAGTAATATCTGGCTGTCGATTAAAATACGTGTGTCTTGCTCAGCAGCTTGCTCCATCCTTCATTACAACTGTTGAGAAAACGAAGAAACTAGCTGTCTTTGTTTATAGGTATTCGCGTTCTACCTGTCATGTTCGACGATATAAAATGGTGGGTAATATTGAGGTTGTTCGTAGATAGCTAGGTAAGGAGGTTAAGTCAATTCACGAAGTTGCGAAACTGTATCGATTGAGATGGTTAGGATGTGTGCTATGCACTCAGAGCCATCGTCTTCCTCGATTTCGACTGTTGGTTTTAGCCATGTATAGAAGTTTAGACTGTCTGGTTGAGGCCCTCGAAGTACTAAGAACTAATGACTTGAGACTGCTGGTAAAATGGCTCAAAATCGTTCTCAGTAGCGCAGATCCGCTCACTTTTTATCATCTACCAGATGCATTAATTTCTCATTATTCTCCACATAATTCTTCTTCTTCTAGTATCTTTCCGTTTCTTTTAGTTTCTTTGCACTTTCTGTCTTTACCCCAATATGTGTGCGCCTTATAAATTGTGGCAACATGAACTGTTGTAGTGTAATGTGTAGTTCTACGCTGAATTCAGTCAGTCTGCCATTATCTGAGGTAAAAATAGTGTTCACTGTCATGATGAGTACTATTCTTGAGAGGATAATTCGATGTTTTGTATCCTCCCTGCATGAGAAACAGGTTTTCATTGCATTAGGTATTTCTCCTCTGTCTCACAGTTTTCAAACAGACTTCACTGGAATAAACAAAATGTAAAATATTCGTTATGTTTTGTTTTCAGATCAATAATTCAAACACAAAAGTAGTAACTATTACAAAACAAAAATCAGTTCAGGATATCACAATTCCAAAAACTATAAAGAAAATAAATTGGTGTATGCATCTATGGCACTCTTATATGTAACATAGCGTAATCCAGGATACTGATTACATATGTGTCAAATACGCCAGCCAAACAGTCTCTACGATTCTGTATTTTTCAACGACCTCATTAATTTTTACTATATGTCTACCTAGACACTATGAAATCTCTAGTGTAATTATGTTCCACCCAACACGTAACTACCGTGCACAATAATTCGATGCATGTAACAAATAGTCCAAATTATCTTTGATTTTAATTTGGTGAGTAAGTCTAGTGGTTTTCCGATGGTTCTATAACTCTCAAGCTGTTGTGCTTCAAGTATACCCAAGATTGAACGTAACCTCCAGAGTTCTTGGTTTTGAAAATCTATTCCGTATAACGTTTAGAGTAGATTAAATACGGCATGATATTACGTAGTCACTCAGTGATACACCCAACGACTGGATAAATATACATCGGTTTTCAGGAGAACCGAACACATATCCCAGTTATTTGAAAGATCATCCTGTTTAGCAACCACTCAGTTGGCCTTTCTCCAGGTAGATCAAAAACCAAGAAGTACTAGGCAGGGGTTTCTTTTTACTCTTTTTTCGGGATTCCTCAGCGATACGCACCCATGACCCCATCGGCGATCGAACCAAGGACCTTTAGTTTACTAGGAGATCTCGTTGCCTATTCAAACAGCGGGATGATATCTACTGTCAGTGAAAGAGGGATACCGAATTTCGAAGGACAGAGAAGCTTTATTTGATTACAAAGCAATGATAGTCAATAAAATGTGATAGCTAAGAACTATTTTGTGTACCTGATAGGGGTCATTACTGTATCAGAAGGAGAATCTACTTGGCTCCATTCTAACAAATAAACCAGATTTCATTCTTTATTTTCAGCAATTAATCCATTATGTATTGAAGTATTGGTTTGTACGTACTGATGAAGAGTCCCAAACTAGGACGAAACAGCTGTCCAGTACTCTCAGGTTTTCCAATGGTTTTCTGACCAATGTCAGCTCATGATGTAATCCTGTAACTAATCCATTAAAGCTAATATTATTTGTTTATGGAGTACATTGGTCAGCCGGATCAGTAACTGTAATTGACTTCAAATTAATTAGTCATTTGGGTGCGTCTTGTTTATCTCATATTTGATAGATGTTAAAATATACCGAAAATATTCTAAAGTTTCAACCAGAGAGAAATTCAGAAAATCTTCAATCTTCATATTACACCGTCATTTAGCATTGAACAGAGACTTAATTGAATTTTGGATTTTCCCGTCGATTGATTGGACCGAAGTGCTCGGTCTCAGGTTGACATGTCGGCTTCTTGAGCAGATGCTTCGACGATGTCTGGGCATTCAATTAGTATTTAATTGGCGGATGGTGACTAGCAGTGGAATCCAGGATGCGCACTTGTCCTATTTGGGACTCATCATTTGGATGTACCTGCATTTCTCAGTGAGTGATGATGTTCCCACCGAGGCTCGAACCCAGTGACCATGGTTTCAAACGCCAAAGGGTTCGAGCCTCGGTGGGAACATCATCACTCACTGAGAAATGCAGGTACATCCAGATGACGAGTCCCAAATAGGACGAAGTGCGCATCCTGGATTCCACTGCTAGTCACCATCCACCAATTAAATTGAACAGAGACCTTCGGCAACAGATTATCTATTATTTCTATTTGATTTCACTTGTTTTGAACATAATATAAGCAAAGTTACACATCAGTGTTGTATTGTTCCGATAGAGTAGAGAGGCAACGTCACTCAGTGTTTCCTATGTATGCTGTGGACCAAGAATCTGGCCTTAAAGTAGAGGAAGAGTCTTGTCGTTGTATTTTGTTGGCAATTAATTTACCATATAAAATGTGCGTCGGTGGCACAGCGGTTAGGACGCTCGCCGACTATTCACATGGCCCGGGGTGCTATCCCCGATCGACGCACACCTGATATCAACGGTTGGTCTAATAAATTTGGGATACCGATATCACATGCTGAAAATTTCATAGTTGTACCAAATACTGTGTGGAATCAAGCTATAATAAAATAAATAAAATTTAAAAAAATAAATAACAGCTCTATTTTCTGGTCATTTATCTTTCTCCTGGGAGGTTAAATCATGCCTTCTCTGTCTGCCTTCTGTTTTTCTAGTGTAGGAATAGTATTCAGGTGGTCAGTCACATACTGTTGTATAAATCCTTCCTAGTTCGTAACCAGTCAATTAGAAGAAATCCAAACGAGGTATTATTAAGCCATTTCATTTTCTTTTTTCACTTAAAACAGTCAAGTTCTCCAGTTAAAGATATCATGTATAGAATGTGTTGAAACACTGCTGTCGACAAATGTTATCCAAAGTGGAATTATTTGTGATCTGATCATTGCGCTGATCAGCAAAAGGAAGGGTATCAGCTGATAGGCTAAATTCCTTGAGATGCTAAGAACAATGACAGATTGCTTAAAATCCGTTAAAATGGCCCAAATCTTCACTGGTTATTCTCCCATTCCTTTGTAATCGCCGTAGTATAAACGCTGATTTTGTTATTAAGATATGATGTAAGCCAGAAGATCAATTAGCTCTGGATCTTCTGTGGAGTCATCCTACTGTACTAGTAAAGTACATAACTTAAACAAAAGTTAACCAGTGATCCTGGATACTTAGTAGCTCACTAGATAATTTTGGCAAAATCTACATTGAAGACAACCAAGCTTTCACGAAACTGATTGTTTTATTGATCTTTGTACACCGTTTCATGTTAAAATTAACGAACATACTGATAGAATGGGACAGAACAGTGATAAGAAAGCCCAAAGCATATTTCTACAGGAACTGACACCTGTCAGAGAGTTAGTGAAACACAGGATGCGGTGAGTAAATGTTTGGTTTGTAACACTTGAAAACCAATCTATTGCTCATTGACACCCCATCATACAACAGAATTACTGGAGTTCAAATGGAATATCGTGTGAAAACATACTTAGCAACTACACTTGATGACAGTTATGTCTTATGACGAATTGGCCAAAGTTCGATTCTATAGTTGAATGGATTCCAGTCCAATGGCTGAATGACAACGTACTCATCTTATGGTCTGTGGGTCTTGTATTCTATCCTCAGTAAGGTCATGGGTTTTGAAGTGTTTTGTACATGCGACCATCGACTAGGTCAGAAGTCTGTCAGTCAGAATTTATATTGTAGAGATAATGGGTGTCTATTAGTCAAATAAACACTTGATCACATTTCACCACTTTTAAGAGATGTTCACTACTCGGATTAGGTTGTTGTACAGCTAGTTCAGACGTTACTTCTCGAATATTTTTATTATGTAATTCTCTCACTGTATTGGGATAAATGTTCCAGTATTACTGTGTTAGTTTTCACACTTACTGTATTATTTATTTTTATTTTTTTAATATTCCCTTGCGTTCCGAATGGAACATAGGGCTTCAACAACACATCTCCACTTGGTTCTGTGGAAGTTACCGAACATCCCTTAATGTTAGCCGGTATTCGTGTGAATATTTAGCGACTATGAAGTGTCTAGTAATCCATAGCATTCACAGATTCTCTAACTGATTATATTTCCTTAGGTAATCTACCTTGAGTTATTATTTCCCTTCACTATTTTCCTTGGTTCTCTGGTTATTTTATCATGAAGCTGTTTTTAATGTCTACTGCGCCCTGTTATTGATGATCAGATAAGTAACAAAAGGGAATTTTCATATTAAATATTGTGTACTAGTCTCCGTTCTCTTTTCCACTAAAAATAATCTGATTAGCATAATATTTCTCATTTTGTCTATTGTAAAAATTATAGAAAAGTAGGTGGACATATAATATAACCTTGAGCTTATGACCTAGAGTATATAAGTATTTTGTATGTAGCCAATCAAATAACCGTTGGCTTCATGAATAGATCACTTGATTTGTTACAAGAAAAATAATAAATAACAAAATATCTAACTTACGTTTTAGTTGGGAATTAGAGAAAATTTGGATTCTTGTTATCCATTATTTTTCTCCGCTTTTCATTCTTCATTTCTTTCATGAGTGATGTGTTTCACTCCAATGCATTTTAGATAGATATATATGTGTTTACATGTCAAGTAATCGTCATTAGAAGAAATAGTGTAGTAAGGCAATTTACTGTCACGTGAAGCATCAGTCATAACATTTATTCTGTTCAATTTTTAATATAGGGAACCTTTCCAAATGTTCAAATTTTGAGCTTTGTAGGGATTCTGATTGAACTATGCAGACGAATTGATCAGTCAGTGTAGATTTTGTCACGAATGGACATCAGTTAGGGAAACATTGAAAAATAAGGAGTATTTGACAGTTTTCTCATTGTAGGATGTTGATTTTTCACCCAGTGACTGACGGGTTCTCCTTGTAACTTGA